GCACCAGTACGTAGGTGGCTCCAGCCTGGACGCAGCGCCAGAACGCGCTGTACTCGGACCTGGCACCAGTACAAACCAGTATAAACCAGTATGAACCAGTACAAACCATTACGACCGAATTTAAACCAGTACAAACCAGTTTAAACCAGTACGGACCATCCCCGCTCCCTACCAGTAACCCCAAACCAGTAAAGAAAAAAACCCAAATAAAAAAAAAACCCCAATAAGCCCCAAATCCCCTCCCAGTATAAACCAGTATAAACCAGTAACCCCCAAATCTCAATTTAACCCTTTCCCAGTCCCTCCCAGTGCCCCGAAATCCCTTCCCAGTCCCTCCCAGTCCATCCCAGTCCATCCCAGTCCATCCCAGTCCGTCCCAGTTCGCCCCAGTTCCCTCACAGGCCGCTGCACTTGTAGGTGATGAAATACGGGAAATACGCGAGGGCGAAACAATTCCCGAAATGAAACAAAGTCATGGCGGCCGCGGGGGGGTCCCCGGAGGGGATTTGAGGGAAAATTCGAGAATTTTGGGGGCGATTTTGGGGAATTTTTTTGGGATTTTGGTTTTTTTTGTTTTTTTTTTTTCCCCCCCGGGGGAGTTTCCGGGTTCGGGGCGGGTTCCGGGCCTGGCGGCCGCGGGGGATGATGGGAAGGCGGAAGTAGCGCCGGAACTTCCGGTTTTGAGTGGCCAATCAGAGAAGGGAAGTGAGTGGCCAATTAGAGAGCGTGACGTCATTGTGGGCGGGGTTTGAGGGAGGCGGAAGCGGCGCCGAAATGGCGGAAAATTCCTTCAAAAAATGCCAAAAAACGCCCAAAAATGGCAAAAAATGCCCCCAAAAAAGTCAAAAAATGCCCAAAATCGGCAAAAATTCCTCGGATCTCCTCCAGGATTCTCAAGCGCTTCAAAATCCTCCCGAAATCCCTGAAAATTCCCACAAAAAACCCCCAAAATCCCCCTCAAAATTCCTTCAAAATTCCCCCAAAATCTCTGGGAAATCTCCGCGGGAAATTCCTGAAAATGAAAAAAAAAATCCCCTCAAAAAAATCCTCAAAAATTTTTATTTTTTAATTTTTAATTTTTAATTTTTAATTTTTTTTTTCTTTTTAATTTTTATTTTTAAAGTTTTTTTTAAATAATTTTTTTTTTTTTTTCTGGGTGCGGGGCCGAGCTGAGAGGGAAAAAAAAATAAAAAAAATAAAATTTGGGGGGGAAATTTTTAAAAATGAGGCAAAAATTTAAAAATAAGAAAAAGGGGGAAAAAATAAAAAAAAATTTGGGGGAGAAAATTCGAAATTTTGGG